TAATGTGTTGTATATTTCAAAATTGCTAAAAGAATAGATTTTTAACATTCATACCACAAAAGATGATAAGTTGGTGAGGTGGTGAATATAATTCACGTGAATATTTCTATGATGTATAATACATAGATCAAAACATCACATTCTACCCCATAAATATACATAATTATCATTTGTCAAAAAAATCATATTAATATAAACAGTCTAAATAGAAAATTAAAAGGCAGGGATTGTAAGATAGGCTAAAAGATAAACAATCAACTATAGAATGCCTGCAAGACACCCTCTTTAAATATAAAGGCACAAATACGCTAAACATAAATGGAGGAAAAAGTTATAACAAACTGCCATACATCAAAAGATACCTAAAATGGCTGTAATTTTGAGCAACGTAGATTTTAGAGCAAAGAATATGCTCAGGAATCAAGAAAATCATTTCATGATGAAAAACAGTTCAGGTCATCATCATTCTGGCTGCGTCTGCTCAGCAACAAAGTCTGACACAAGTGTCATGAGGCATGGAGTGCTCCTCACCCGCGGGAAGCTCCCTGCGTCGCGGCGGTGGACAGGTCTGCCTGTGTTCTTGCATGTTCTTCGTATGTCCTTCCTCCTTTTGGTCATAGAACTTCAATTTCCCTTGGAAAACGTCCTCTGCTCCATTCTGCACAGTCTTGTAGACTGTAAATCAGTCTGTATAGGCAATGGAAATTAGATTCTTTTGCAAGGAATCTGAATCCTTGTGGGGAGGGACAAGAAGAGAGTGATCAGTTGATTAATTCCTGTCAATGCTCCACGATAATTGTTCATTAGCTCAGGTCAGTCTAGTGCTAATTCTTCCAGGTTATTCATCTCTGTATTCAATTTAATGAGCTACGTAAGCTGACATCTGTCTACCTCTCCAAACTTAATTATCACGTTTTCTCAGTTTCCCTTTAAATTCCAGCCATCTCAGTCTTCTCCCTTTTTAAATATCCCAGGCTCCTGCTCCTCCAGGTCTTGGAACTTGATGCTGTCTCTGCCTGGTGAGGGTTTCCTGCAGTTCCACTCTTACCTGGCTCCTTCTCATTCTTTACATCTTAGTTCAAATGTTACTTCTTCAGAGAGCTATCTTCTGACTAGACCATCACTCTGTTGGTCTCTATAACAAGACTTCAGAACATTATGGCCTCAGGCTACACCCGGCCCATTACTTGTCCAATGATAGGTTTTGTAAATAGAGTTTTACTGGAACTCAGCCATGCTCATTTCTTTAGTATTGTCTATGGCTGCTTTCACCCTCCAATGGCAGAGTTGAATAGTTGCTACAGTAACAGTATGTCTTGCAATGCATAAAATATTTTTCATCTGATCCTTTAAAGAAAAAGATTGCTGATCCCTGCTTTATAATATTATTGTTTATTTCTTTATACAACTTATCATCTGCAATTATCTTGTTCAGCACTGTAAGAGTTATGGATAGTAGGTAGCTTGCCTGCTTTTAATCAGTTACGCATCCCTAATGCCTAATCTAATGCCTGCTGAGAGTAGAACTCAAGAAGCTGTTTGTGGAACAGACGAGCGAGTAAGTGGGTATATCTCATCAACAAGTACTCAACAAATGGCAGGAAGTGCGTGGGTTGATTTCAGGGTGCTCTATTCTATTCCATTGATCAGAGTCTCTGTTATTATACCAGTACCATGCTGTTTGGTATNGCTCTATTCTATTCCATTGATCAGAGTCTCTGTTATTATACCAGTACCATGCTGTTTTGGTAT